TATTGTGTTGGTTTCAGGTATACAGAAGAGTGACCCAGCTCTGTGTGTGTGTGTGTGTGTTTTCCAGATAACTTTCCATTGTAGATTATTACAAAATATTGAATATAGTTCCCCGTGCTATATGGTAAATCTTTTGTTACTTATCTCTTTTATGTATAGTAGCTTGTATCTGTTAATCCCATACTCCTAATTTATCCCTCCCCACCCCTCCCTTTCCCCTCGGATGACAGCAAGTTTGTTTTCTACATCTGTGAGTCTGTTTGTTTTGTATATAGATTAACTTGTATTATCTTTTAGATTCCACAACGAAGTGGTATCCTATTTGTCTTTCTCTTACTTCACTTAGTGTGATAATTTCTAGGTCCATCCATGTTGCTAAAAATGGCAATATTTCATTATCTTTTACAGCCGATTAATATTTGTTTATATATACCACATCTTCTTAAACCAATCATCTGCTGATGCACGCCTCACTGGTTTCCANTATATGTAGCTGTCCAGCTTTCCCAATACCACCGCTGTTGCCCATGTGTTTTTGGGAGTCTTAGGATGTCATTATCTTTTATTTTGGTCTTTAAACCATTTTGTTTCTTTTTGTATATGAAGTGTTCTAATTTCATTTGTTAATATATGTAGCTGTCCAGCTTTCCCAATACCACCGCTGTTGCCCATGTGTTTTTGGGAGTCTTAGGATGTCATTATCTTTTATTTTGGTCTTTAAACCATTTTGTTTCTTTTTGTATATGAAGTGTTCTAATTTCATTTGTTAATATATGTAGCTGTCCAGCTTTCCCAATACCACCGCTGTTGCCCATGTGTTTTTGGGAGTCTTAGGATGTCATTATCTTTTATTTTGGTCTTTAAACCATTTTGTTTCTTTTTGTATATGAAGTGTTCTAATTTCATTTGTTAATATATGTAGCTGTCCAGCTTTCCCAATACCACCGCTGTTGCCCATGTGTTTTTGGGAGTCTTAGGATGTCATTATCTTTTATTTTGGTCTTTAAACCATTTTGTTTCTTTTTGTATATGAAGTGTTCTAATTTCATTTGTTAATATATGTAGCTGTCCAGCTTTCCCAATACCACCGCTGTTGCCCATGTGTTTTTGGGAGTCTTAGGATGTCATTATCTTTTATTTTGGTCTTTAAACCATTTTGTTTCTTTTTGTATATGAAGTGTTCTAATTTCATTTGTTAATATATGTAGCTGTCCAGCTTTCCCAATACCACCGCTGTTGCCCATGTGTTTTTGGGAGTCTTAGGATGTCATTATCTTTTATTTTGGTCTTTAAACCATTTTGTTTCTTTTTGTATATGAAGTGTTCTAATTTCATTTGTTAATATATGTAGCTGTCCAGCTTTCCCAATACCACCGCTGTTGCCCATGTGTTTTTGGGAGTCTTAGGATGTCATTATCTTTTATTTTGGTCTTTAAACCATTTTGTTCCTTTTTGTATATGAAGTGTTCTAATTTCATTTGTTAGCGTATGTAGCTGTCCAGCTTTCCTACCACCACCGCCGAAGGGACTGCCATTTCTGCACTGTATATTCTGGCTTTTGCTGTAGGTTGACCATAGGTGTGTGGGTTTATTTCTGGGCTCTCTATTCTAGGCCTTAGGTTTGTGGGGAGTTTGACTTCTTCCTTTCCATTGAATACCTATTATTTCTTGTTTCAGTCACCACAGCTAGGACTCAATACTGTGAACAGAAGTTGTGAGAGTGGGCATCCTTGTCTTGCTCGATTAATTTAGCAAGGTTTTTATGTTTTCATCACTGTCATATTAGCTGTGGGGATGTTATAAATTGCTTTTATGATGTTGAGATATGTTCCCTCAATACCCACTTTGGTGAGAGCGTTTATCATGAATGGATATTAAATTTTATCAAATGCCTTTACTGAGATGATCATGTAGTTTTTGTCTTTTTTTTATGGTTTTGTATCACTTTTATTTCTATTGGAACAGAGATGATAAACAATGTTGCTTTTGTTTTCTCCATCAGGCACATGCCTTCAGTTATACATACCATTACATCTACTGGTTTTTGCCCCCTTTTCCCAGATAGCTTTCTCCAGTGTGTTGACTAGTGTTCCCTGAACAAAACAATAGGTCCTTGTTGATTATACAGATACCATTTTCATATAATAATTGCACATGCTAATTTATCCCTGTCCAGTATTTTCCCTCTCCAGTAACCATAGGTTTCTTTTCTAAGCCTCTGAGTGTATTTGTTTGGTCAATTCATGTACTTCTATCCATTTTTAGATTGTACCGCAGCGTGATATGTATGCTGTTTTTCTCTGTATAACCTGCTACCCATAATTGTCTTTTCTTTTGTCAATGGGGTATATCACATTTATTAATCTGTGTATGCTGAACCATCCTTGAAACATGGAATGAATTCAACTGGACCATGGTGTATAATCCTTGTTATGTACTGCTGAATTCTGTTTGCTAATTTTTTTTTTAGGACCATACCATGCAGCATGTGGAATCTTAGTCCCCTGATCCAGGATTGAACCTTTGTCCCCTGTATTGGGAGCAAGGAGTCTTAACCACTAGTGAAGTCCCTCAGTGTGCTGAGTTTTTTATTTTAAATATTCCCGTATTTTTATTAGTCTTTTTTATTGATTTTTTCTTCATTGCAGCAATAGTGGAGGATAAAAAGTACTTTCTCCATGCACAAAGGGTGTCCAAATGACAGAAGCTGCTGTAAGAAGGACATCTTTCCATTGGTGAAAATTTCTGAGTGCTTTGGCTAGCTGACCCCAGCAGGATGCCTGCAGTGAAACTCAAGTGAACTCCAGTGTCGGCACAGACCAGGAGGCATGCTGGAGAGGGACCCACCCTGTCCACCCTCACCCGGCAGTTGTACCTGGCCCAGCAACCTTCAGTAAAAGGCAACCAAGTCCCTGTCTCCCGGTGCCCAGCCCCAGTCCCAGGCCAAGAAATGCACACCAGAAAGATCTGGAGCAGGCCACGTGCTGGGGATCCCACAGAGTCCCTGCGGCCGTGATCCCGATACATCCTTCTCATTAGACTGCCGGTTGTCAAGGTTTGCTAATATTTTGTTGAGGAATTTTGCATCAATATTCATCAAAGATAGTCACCCGTAAATTTTTTTTTTTTTAGTGGCTTTGTCTAGTTTGGGTATCAGGGTGACAGTGGCGTCATAGAGTGACTTTGGGGCTGTTCCCTCCTCCTCTGTCTTTTGAGAGGGTTTGAGAAGGATCAGGATAAATCCTCTGTTTACCCAGTGAAGCTGTCCAGTGCTGGACTTCCGTTTGCAGGGAGTTTTTACAATTAGAGATTCTGTTTCACTTCTAGTGATTGGTTTGGTAAAACGATGCTTCTCCTTGACTCAATTTTGGCAGCCTGTAGGTCTCTATAAATGCACCTATTTCCTCTGTGGTGTCCAATTTGTTGCCACCTAACTGTCCATTGGATTCCCTCATAGCTTAGTCAGTAAAGAATCCACCTGCAATGCAGGAGACCCGGGTTTGATTCCTGGGTTGGGAAGATCCCCTGGAGAAGGAAATGGCAACCCACTCCAGTGTTCTTGCTTGGGAAATCTCCAGGACAGAGGAACCTGGCAAACTACAGTCCATGGGGTCACAAGAGTCAGATATGACTTAGCAACTGTACCACCAATGGTTCCTAGTATTCCAGCATGATGATGTTTTTGTTTCTCTGGTACTAGAAGTTATTTCTCTTCTTCCGTCCCTATTTTGATTATCTGGCTTCTCTCGTTTTCCTGATGAGCCTGACTAGAGGTTTGTCAATTTTATTTTTTAAAAAGTATCTTAGTTTCACTTTTTTTTTTTCCATTGTTCTTTTTTAATCTCTATTTTCTCTCTGAACTTTTTATTTCCTTCCTTCTGCTGACTTTAGTTTTATTTATTCTAATTCTTTTAGGTTGCTTGAGATTCTTCTAGTTTCTTCAGAAAGGCCTGTATCGCTATGAAATTCTGTTAGAACTGTTACGTTGCGTCCCATAGATCTTCTAAGATTGTGTTCTCATTGTCTTTTGTCTCAAGGTATTTCCTCTGATTTGATCATTGAGCAGTGCTTCTTCAGTAGCATGTTGTTTAGTCTCCATGTATTTGGTTTTTTCCCCATTTTTCTTTCTGTGATTAATCTTGAGCTTCATATCTGTTGTGTTCAGAAAAGATGCCTGAAGTAATTTCTATCAATAATCTTTCTTAATGACTTTAGCACTTCTATTACCTGCTCTTTGAACTTGGGGTCTCGTAGACTGGTGAGGTCTGCTTCATTATTTGTTCTTTCACAGGATTTCTTGTTCTTTTAATTGGGATTAGTTCCTCTGCTTTTTCATTTTCCTTTCATCTCTGTAAGTTTAGACGGAAAAGTTACTCACTGTGGTCCTGAAGGGGTGTTTGCATGTGGGAACATCCTTGCATAGACTGAGTCCAGTATTTTGGGTGTGAAGGCCACTGTTGGAATGGACGCCAGCCTCATCTTTCCCCACGGTGTGCTGGCCACTGTCCCCTTCATCAGGGGTGTGGCTGGTGTCCAGAGCCTGCGGTGGGACGTTGTACAGGGCTTCCTCTTTACCCTGTGGTTGTCACAGCCCTGCCTGTCCCACCTTGAGTTTACAGCACCTAATAGCTACGAAAATGAGTGAAAGGAGCGCAGACAAACATGGGCATTAGTGTTGTAACTGATGCTGGACACTCGAGTAGTGATGCCCCCCTTAACGCAGCTGATGTTACTTTCACACAAATTAGTGTTAACTGGGGGCTCACAGGGCACAAACGTGGCAATCGGTGGAATTAGACCTTTAAGTTGACACTCATGCACGGGCTTTTCAGACAATGTGAGGCCTGTGCTGCTGAAACGATCTGAGGACAGGAGGCCCTGACCTCTGGGTGTCCGTGGGTCTCCCCCAGCCCGGCAGGCCGTGAGCCCTGACTGCTGCGGCGGAAATCAGCCCACTCACACCCTGCATCCCCCAAGACTGGCCTCAGCACCCCAGGAAGGCAAGATTTCTCAACTCTTTTATTAAGTTAGAAATGGGTAAAAACAACACAACTTGTGGAGAAAGCACCACTGTGAGGTCCTTTGTGCTGCCAGACCCGTGCCTAGCACAGCAATCCAACAGGCCAGGCGGTGCGGGCGCTGGACCGGGGCTGCCGCTTCCCCGGCATCTCGGGCCGAGCCATCTCCAGGGACCAGGCCCCTGGCTTCTGGGTGTCTGAGAGGAAGCACCGAGAGCAAGGTGGAGCCTCAGACACAGGTGGGGGCCGTGGGGTCCCAGGAACCTGGAGACGCGCCTTCTGCTTTTTCCCCAGGGGAAGCGGATGGCCTATGGCTGGTGCACATCTCTGGGCCAATCCTGCCCTAAAGATGCCCTTGGGGCCCCGGGGACACCCACAGGCCTGGAGCCAGCACAGAGGTCCTGTTGGGGGCAGGGCCAACTGGGAAGCAACCGGCCCCACGAGTAGTACAGCCTACCTGGGAGCCCCAGGCCACGCAGTGCACCGGGGCAGGCAAGGGACAAGGTCAGACCCTCAAACGCTAGGTGAAGGGGCACCCATAGGAGCTGACCTTTCCAGAAGCCCGAGGCTGCAGCTGGACCTGTGAGGTGCCCAATACTTGGAAGGTGGGAGAATGAACAAATGCTTGGCAGTTCTCTTGCAACCACTGTCACGTTGTGAGCTTAGGGGACACGTGAGGCAGACCCCATCACCAGTTAGAAGGTTGAGAGGCCAGTGGCACAGGGCTTTGTCATCCTCTCCAAGCTGAGTCCAGCCCTTGGTGGGGTCTGTCGTGGGCATCCTGGAGTCCCCCAGTGGGCCCCAGCTCACATGTGCTCCTGGTCTGGGCAGGTAGGGGCCAATTCTGGGGTCATCCCTGCCTCTTGGGCTGGGCGCTGAGGGGAGGTGATGGGCAGCCCCCCAGGGTCCCTGCACACCTGTGCTTGCACCCGGGAGATGGTGGGGTCGCTGGGGGTGAGGCCCGCCTCTCGGGAGCCTGTTTAACACTGGTGGCCTGGTGGCTGTCACTGAACGGTTCTCTCCCGTAAGACTTTCTCCACAGCACAATCCTGCTCAGCCCCCACACACCCAGTTCCCAGGGGCTGGGGGCGTCCTGTGTGGGGAGATTTTACACCACCACCAGGGAAGCCCGGAGCCCAAGACTGTGCTGTCCCACACCCGCCCAGCCCCCGCCCCAGTCCAGGGTGCCCTCAAGGCTCTGCAGACGTGTCTTTCTCCTCCAGGCCGAGGGACTCCTGCTGTCCGTCCACAGCCCCCTGGAAGGTCTTCTCCCCCCGCAAACCACCACAAAGCAGGCAAGGCCTCAGCCAGACCCACAGGACACGGGAGACGGCTCTTCTTCCCTGAAGCTCGGAGCAGCCCCCGAGGCCGCCGCTCCCAGGGCTGGTGGGCTGGCTTCTGGCCACTCAGAGCAGTGGGCCAGGCGGAGCGACCCACAGACAAGGTCAGGCCACGTGCAAGAGCGAGGGCCGCGGCCGTGGGGCGGGGAGAAACACACAGCGTCTGCAGAGGAACGAGAGAGAAAAGGTGAGTCGCGCCCACTGCCTTCTGTCCTCACCTGGAGTCGGACCTGATCACAAGGCCACGAGGAGGGGCTGGGGCGCAGACCCTGGGCGGAAGGCCTGGAGTGAGAACGGAGCTCGCCCGTCACCTCCCTGAGCTGGGCTCTGCTCACCTCCATCCAGCTTCTCCAGACACACACTCTGCACACCCTCAACCCAGCAGGCACCGTGCCAGGCCCAGAGAAAGGGGACGGCAGACACAGCTACCATCTCAGTGGATCGGCTCCAGTGGGAGAAACTTGCAGGCCTGTGCGAACAAATGTATACAGCCAACGTATACAGCCAACACACACAGAAGTGCTGTATGTGGGGAAAAAAGTGAGATTAGAGAGCCATTTTGCACCAGGAACTGTGGTCTAAAATCCTGGGTGAGAGCCTTCTGCGCCAGCAAGCTATGAGCAAGTGATACTGAGCTGCACTCAAAGGGAAAAAAGAGCCAATAAAACATGGAAGGAAGCAAGTGCATTAAACAGTAGCGGAGACAAAATGCCAGAGCAGAAAGATGTGCGCTCACCTCTTCTTAGGAAAACACCGAAATTACAATTAACTGCTGAAAAGCATCGACAAAAAAAAAAGCTGGAACCTACCAGAAAAGACACGCTACTTCCACAGACAAAGAAGAAGCCACAATACGATGGCAGGAGGGGTGTAATCACGATAAAATCCAGTCCCGTACCTGCGAGGAGGGACACTCACAGCTGGAAATTATTACAGAAATTGTCCCATGGGAGTGAAAGTTCTGAGGTCCTGTCAGGCTCCCCAGTCTGGACCGGGAGGAGGCACCTCAAGAGGACCTGGTTTTGAAGGCCGGCAGGGCTGGACTGCAGGAATTCCACAGGACTGGGAGAAACACACTCCACTCTGGGAGGGCGCACAGATGATCTTAGGCGCACGAAGACCCAGTGAAAGTGAAGGCACTCAGTCGCGTCTGACTCTGCGACCCCACGGGCTGTAGCCTACCAGGTTCCTCCATCCAGGGGATTTTTCAGGCAAGAGTACTGGAGTGGGGCACCACTGCCTTCTCCAGGGGATCTTCCCGACCCAGGGATCGAACCCAGGTCTCTTGCGTTGTAGGAAGACACTTTACCCTCTGAGCCACCAGGGAAGAAATAACAAAACCAGTGACCTCATAAAAGCCTAGGCCAGACCTACCTACCTGCTGGTACTGGAGGGTCTCCTGTGGAAGTGGGGGGCGGCTGTGGGAGACGGCGGGGACAAAGACACTGAAGGTGGTCATTCTGGGGAGTAAGACCCAGTGAAAGTGAAGGCACTCAGTCGCGTCTGACTCTGCGACCCCACGGGCTGTAGCCTACCAGGTTCCTCCATCCATGGGATTTTTCAGGCAAGAGTACTGGAGTGGGGCACCATTGCCTTCTCCAGGGGATCTTCCCGACCCAGGGATCGAACCCAGGTCTCCTGCGTTGTAGGAAGACACTACCATCTGAGCCACCAGGGAAGAAATAACAAAACCAGTGACCTCATAAGAGCCTAGGCCAGACCTACCTACCTGCTGGTACTGGAGGGTCTCCTGTGGAAGTGGGGGGCGGCTGTGGCAGACGGCGGGGACAAAGACACTGAAGGTGGTCATTCTGGGGAGTACTCACTGACGTGAGCCTTCCTGGAGGGCGTCATTTTCTCACCAGGACCTGACCCCACCCAACAAGCTCGGGGCTCCAACAGGGTGGGAACCCAAACCCACCCCTCAGCAGGCGGGCTGCTTAGACACATCTTGAGAACACAGCCGTCTCTTTGTAACCCTGTGGACTGTAGCCCAGCAGGCTCCTCTGTCCACGGGATTTCCCAGGCAAGAATACTGGAGTGGGTTCCCATGTCCTTGTCCAGGGATCTGCCTGCCAGGGGTTCAGGGACTGAACCCACACCACCTGAATTGACAGGAAGACTCTTTACCCCTGAGCCACCTGGGAAGCTTCACACTATATTTAAACTGATGAAAAAATCTACAACAAAGAATACTCTATCCAGCAAGGTTCTCATTCAGATTTGATGGAAAAATCAACAGGTTCACTGACAAACAAAAGCTAAGAGAATTCAGCACCACCAGATCAGCTTTGCAGCTAATGATAAAAGAACTTCTCGAGGTGGGAAAAAAAGGCTACAACTAGAAACAAGAAAATTACAAGTGGGAAAACTCACTGATAAAGGTAAACATACAGTAAAGGTAGGAAATGACCTACACACAAATAAGACATCAACTGTGAGGAGAGACGGAGACCCCACTCCATGGGGTCGCGAAGAGTCGGACACGACTGAGCGACTTCACTTTCACTTTTCACCTTTATGCACTGGAGAAGGAAATGGCAATCCACTCCAATGCTCGTGCCTGGAGAATCCCAGGGATGGGGTCGCACAGAGTCGGACACGACTGAAGTGACTTAGCAGCAGCAGTGAGGAGAGAAGAATACAAATGCAGGATATTGGAAATGCATTTGAAATTTAAAAATCAGCAACTTAAAACAACCTTGTTTATATATAGGCTGCTAAAACAAAACTTTAAGGTAACTGCAAACCAAAAATTAATAGATAAACACAAAAAAGAAAAAGGAATCCAAACACAACACTAAAGTTAGTCATCAAATCACAAGAGAACAAAGTGGGATGAAAAAAGATCTACAAAAACAAATCAACAAGATGGCAAAAGGAGAGGATACATGCTGTCCACAAGAGACCCATTCAGATCTAGGGCACCCACAGTCTGAAAGGGGGGGATGAGGAAAGGTGCTCCATGCAAATGGAGATCAAAAGAAAGCTGGAGCTTTCTTTCATATCAGACAAAACAGACTTTATTAAGTCTGTTACAAGAAACAATTTTTCCTTATTGCAAAATTCGGACTTAAATTGAAAAAAGTAGGGAAAACCAATAGGCCATTCAGATATGACCTAAATCAAATCCCTTATGATTATACAGTGGAAATGACCAATGGATTCAAGGGATCTGATATGACAGAGTGCCTGAAGAACTATGGACAGAGGTTCATAACACTGTACAGGAGGTGGTGATCAAGACCATCCCCGTGGAAAAGAAATGCAAGAAGGCCAAACGGCTGTCTGGGGAGGCCTTACACATAGCTGAGAAAAGAAGAGAAGCGGAAGGCAAAGGAGAAAAGGAAAGATATTCCCATTTGAATGCAGAGTTCCAAAGAACAGCAACAAGAGTTAAGAAAGCCCTCCTCAGTGATCAATGCAAAGAAAGAGGAAAACAACAGAATGGGAAAGACTGGAGACCTCTTCAAGAAAATTAAAAGCTACCAAGGGAACATTTCATGCAAAGACAGTCACAATAAAGGACAGAAATGATATGGACCCAACAGAAGTAGAAGATATTAAGAGGTGGCAAGAATACACAGAAAAACTATACAAAAAAGATCTTTACAACTCAAATAACCATGATGGTGTGCTCACTCACCTAGAGTCAGACATCCTGGAGTGTGAAGTCAAGTGGGCCTTAGGAAGCATCACTATGAACAAAGCTAGTAGAGGTGATGTGCTATTTCAAATCCTAAAAGATGATGCTGTGAAAGTGCTGCACTCAATATGCCAACAAATTTGGACAACTCAGCAGTGGTCACTGGACTGGAAAAGGTCAGTTTTCATTCCAATCCCAAAGAAAAGCAATGCCTAAGAATGTTCAAACTACTACACAATTGCACTCATCTCACATGCTAGCAAAGTAATGCTCTCAATTCTCCAAGCCAGGCTTCAATAGTACATGAACTGAGAACTTGCAGGTGTTCAAACTGGATTTAGGAAAGGCAAAGGAACCAGAGATCAAATTGCCAATGTCCGTTGGATCATAGAAAAAGCAAGAGAGTTCCAGAAAAACATCTGCTTCATTGACTATGCTAAAGCCTTTGACTGTGTGGATCACAACAAACTCTGGAAAATTCTTAAAGAGATGGGAATAGCAAACCACCTTACCTGCCTCCTGAGAAATCTGTATGCAGGTCAAGAAGTGATAGTTAGAACCGGACATGGAACAATGTCTAGTTCCAAATTGGGAAAGGAGTACATCAAGGTTGTACACTGTCACCATGCTTATTTAACTTATACGCAGAGTACGTCATGCGAAATGCCAGGTTGGGTGAAGCACAAGCTGGAATCAAGATTGCCGGGAGAAATATCAATAACCTCAGATATGCAGATGACACCACCCTTACGGCAGAAAGCAAAGAGGAACTGAAGAGCCTCTTGATGAAAGTGAAAGAAGAGAGTGAAAAAGCTGTCTTAAAACTCAACATTCAAAAAACAAAGATCATGACATCTGGTCCCATCACTTCATGGCAAATAGATGTGGAAACAATTGGAAACAGTGAGAGACTATTTTCTTGGGCTTCAAAATCATTGCAGATTGTGACTGCAGCCATGAAATTAAAAGACGCTTGCTCCTTAGAAGAAAAGCTATGACAAACCTAGACAGCATATTAAAAAGCAAAGACATTACTTTGCCAACAAAGTTTCATATAGTCAAAGCTATGGTTTTTCCAGTAATCATGTAAGGATGTAAGAGTTAGACCATAAAGAAAGCTGAGCGCTGAAGAATTGATGCTTTTGAACTGTGGTGTTGGAGAAGACACTTGAGAGTCCCTTGGACTGCAAGGAGATCCAACCAGTCCATCCTAAAGGAGATCAATCCTGAATATTCATTGGAAGGACTGATGTTAAAGCTCCAATACTTTGGCCACCTGATACGAAGAGCTGACTCACTGATCCTGATGCTGGGAAAGACTGAAGGCAGGAGGAGAAGGGGACGACGGAGGATGAGATGGTTGGATGGCATCACCAACTCAGTGGACATGAGTTTGAGCCAGGCTCCAGGAGTTGGTGATGGACAGGGAAGCCTAGCATGCTGCAGTCCATGGGGTCGCAAAGAGTCAGACATGACTGAGCGACTGAACTAAAAAAAAAAGAAATAGTGCCATTTGC